AATCGCATAGTCACGACCCACGAGGTCGGTTGGCAGCACCGCCTCCCCAAACAAGCCATCATGGAGGAAATGCCTGTAGAGACGTTGAGTCACGGATGGTCAAAGCAAAGTTGCCACATTCTTATCTCTTAGTTGCTTCCCGTCGCTTGACGCTCGTTCCGAGAGAAAGGCACTGAGGTTTCAGGTTGTGAGAATGCACCTTAGCTATGCTTCTCATAGACAGCATATTGACGATGAACGAAAGTCACAACAAGGCCTGTGCCGATAACAATGTCGTGTCCGTGTCATGTCCGTCACTCTCTCTGGCTTAAATCAAACATTTCCAGGCTGAGAATCAATGTTGGAACAACCTAGCATTGCCTAATTTAAAGCCTATCAACATCATTGAAGCAACCTAGAAACAACATGTATCACCCATCTAAGGCCTGGAAACAACCTGTACCATTTAGCTAAGGCCTAGAAATGACTTGGAAGCAACCAGATTTGTCTTCAGAATCGTCCAGTTTCGCTGTGTCAAGGCTTGTGCGACTTAGTGCAAGCTTGTCATTGTTTTTTTTTTTGAATATTGGTCAAGGAAGCTGCAAGCATGAAAGTGCCTCGATGCTGGCACAACCAAGACATGGGCGTGTATCTCATAATAACTCGATTTATCACTTCAGTAGTGAACATGGAGTAAAGTAAGAGAGGAGTGTCGACTCCGCTGCCACGCAATGCATTCGTTCGCGACGAATCGTGCAGTGGAAACCTTGGAAGGAAATTCATTCTGTTGCTCTCTCCCTCCACTCCTCTTCACGCTTTCTCTTCCTCTTGCGCTCCCAGTTAACTTTCCTTAGGGAGCCTTCATGTGAATGGGTCTTTGTGTTTTAAGGTGGTGTCAGCGTTTTACCCACCGCTTGCCGCCGCCTGCTAAAACACAATGTTGCCAGTCCCGGTTCCCATGGCAACAAGCGCCATGTTCGTTCTCGTGACCAGGCGTTCCTGCTCCGCCGCACTGCACCACCTGCATGTTGGTGCAGGTGTGCAAACTGCTGTATGAGCTGCGTTTGACTGCATCGTAGACATATAGCTTCCGCTACGACACGATCTTCGCGCTTAGCACACCTACAAGAACAAGGCAAGCTGGCCTGAGAAAATTTAATTTTGTGCGTTTGGCTCGTCAGGTTGTGCGATGATCGCTATGCTTATTTATCCTAATCAACCGGTGTCAATAACAACGTGAGCCGGCACTTTAACCGACCCTGTTGCAGCCGCTATGTAAAAGAATGGCACAGATTCAATGGAGCAAAGAAAGCGACACCCAGTTGTTTTGGCTGCAAACGCCGTAACCACATCCAACAGAGCGACATGAAAAGCCAAGTGATAAGACGGGACGCGCATGCACCCTGCAGCAGGTGTCTCGTCGCTAGCTGGTGCGTCGATGCATTCAGCCCCACGATCCCGTAGTCTGCACACTTTTGATCGCACCTGTATATCCCATCATATCTGCTGGCCTGCCCTGTGACTTTGCCTGGCATGGTTACGATGCTGGTGAACAAAATGTCAATTCGGTGTCGCTTCCTCTTCTCTGTCGCATCTGCACAATTATTTTACATTGTGGTTGCACTGGCTGGCGTACATTAATTGGTTCTTCTTTATCCTAACACAAAATATGCCAGGGTCCACCAAGATTTTTATGACATTTTTTCGTCGTGGAAATGGCATCGAAAAAATGCACACGATCAGAGGGCAAATAAAAAAAAGTTCCATCATCGGGCGTCAAAATCACGACTGGGCAAGGATGCCGGGCACGCTATCCGCTGCACCATGGTCACACACACTGCAGGTGTCCCTAATGCACGGTCACACACACTGGAGGCATTACAAATGCACCTTTTATATCACAAACTTTCCTATCACAGTGCTCTTGGTCGGCAGCATGATTTCGCCCTGTGGGAGCGGTAGTTTAAGCAATGCATTATTACCATGGCCTTCACAATTAATTCCTGCTACGCATGTTTGCCACGTATCCGTCCCATTCAGTGCATTTCAAATAAAAGAAGAGCATCTTTGTCCTTGCCTTAACACTCCACGAGGTGGTGATCATAGCCCAAGCATTGGCCTTGCTCCATCTGTACTAAAAATAGCTCTGCAACACGTGCCTGCCTTGCCTGGCTGTAACACCGCGTTCCCCGCTTACACTTGCCCCAAGCGAATATGCAATAAAGACTTGTTTCTTGTTGCATTTACCTCTAGTTCGGCTGTGGTGTTCAGTCACTCTCTTAACATGTGGCGGGGTAGCGACCTTAGCCCAAGTGCTGCGCACAGTTTGGGACGCTTGTCTGGCTGTCAGACCACTTTCTCTCACTGTTTTCACCGTTAACTGCAGTTACCACAAGGGTTTTTTTAATTATTGATCATGGAGATTAGCCTTTGAAACAGGGATTTACCACCAAGCATCAACGTGGGTGCATCCACTTGAAACCGTGGTGTAACTGCCAAACACCAATAGACATCGTAGGAGCTCTCGCACTTCAATGTACAGTAAATAATCAACCACTTCTGTAAGGACATGTTTTACATTTATGTTATGCTGATTCCTGCAAAGAAGGGATCAATCATGTTTTTTTTGTTTTTTTTTTTTTTAATTTATCGCATGGCACACAACCCTTCTGTGGCGCCTTTAGATTACTTGCACAAAATGACTTTTCCTTCTGCTCCAGTTTATTCTTGCTAACGGTTCCCATGTTCACCATTGCATATAGAAGCACAATAAATAAAATAATAACAATAATAATAACAATAATAATAATAAGAATAAGAAGAGGAAGAAGAAGAAGAATTTACATTGCGGGCTGGACACATCAGCCGTCTCAGCTGCAATCGCTACATAGGACAACATTGCAGATGCGATGGAACATAGAAAATGTCGCCCAGTTGGCATTCATTTAATGAGTGAAATCATGTAGGGGAAAACTGCATGACTGGTTGGCAGACATTATAGGACGCACCTCCGCCTTTCGGGCCCTTTTGTCAGCAAGACCTGCGCTGCAGATACTGCATTGAGGCACTTTGGCAAGTGCTCCCTTGGTCCATACTATACTATTGCTCACGGCTGTACTTATCATTGTAATACAGCTACAATGAATCCTTGATCCAGTTTTCATCAAATGTATTGGATTGTATGACCACTTCATTAAGATGTAGTTGGTTATCATACCATCACATTTTTTCGCACCCCTTCAATTTTCGCTGTGGATTATCATGTGTTGTGTCACAAAGGAGCAAGAGGCACGCCTGTGTGAGCTAACGCAGCCAACTCCTTCTGCGGCGTGCACCTTCAGTCTGCTTGAGAACATATCTGGCCTAGTGGTGTTCAGTGCGTACTGCATGCTTTTATTAGGCAATAGCTCATACAGTCGAATCTCATTAATTCAAACACAATTAATTTGAACTTCCAGTTAATTCAAACTCACCCTGTGGTCCTGCAAAGCTATGTGTAATCCAATTGGCAAAAACGCCCTGTAATTCGAATATGCAAGCACTTTCAACGGTTAATTCGAACATATCGCGCTTTGGGAATTCTCTCGGCACAATGCCCAATCCCGCGGCGGCACCTCCGATAACTCAACGCTGCGCGCGAAGAAGGAAAAGAAGAAAAAGAAAAGAAAAAGCTGCGGCGGAATGTTTGCTCTCTCTCACATGCCGATCTGCAACGTGCCTGTGCCACGCTTCTCCCTTTTTCGTCCCTGCCATGTAGAGACCCTTCTCCTTTCAACGCTGTGCTCGAATCATGAAGCCTTGGTTCTCTCTCAAATGCTGATCTGCTTCTCTCCGCGTGGAGATGCCCCTCCTCTCTCACCATCTGCTGGCCACGCTGCAGCTGCAGCGTAGAGGGTGCCTGCCATTACGCAGTCATTGCCGTCGTCTTGAGAGAGTGTTGGCGCTGGACTTAGCCGCGTCAGAGAATTACGCGCTACTTCTCTTGCCAGGTGAATACTGAAGCCGAAGTTGAAATGCTTTACAAACTGCATGCGAAGTTGATTTATTCGCTGCAAGGCAAATGTGTGCAGATGCACATCACCGATTACATCAATTATTGATGAATGTCCTGTGATTTGTGAATAAATGTAAGTCTTCTGAAGCTTTCCCCTCCTGTGTTAGCTCAATGCACATGCACCACTGCATGGTGAGCCCTTCGTACATTTAGCTTTCATTAAATCGGACTTCTTTTAATTAGAACAAATTTTTGAGCCCCTTCGAGTTCGAATTATCGGTATTCGGCTGTACTTCTTGCCTTTTTCTGACACCTCATTCAGTGGTACTTGAATCGTAGTTGTTACATTGGATCAACAATATGCAATATGCCACTATTTTGACAGCCAGGAGAGGTGTGGGCATGATAACAGCTCTCTGCACGGACATTTATGTGAACCACGTACAGTCTTGATTTCTGGGCTTAGTATGAAACACTGCCACAATTAACTGAAATGAAAGGATTGGAGCCACCCGGAAAGAAAATACCCCTCTTCACTAAAGAGGTACTAGTCCTAGTTCGCTAAACTGCTCTATGAGTGCACGATTGGGCACATTATAGTGAGCCCGACTACTCGCTATTGGGTGCCTTGGCTGTGTGCACCCTAATATGATGCTGCTTGTCATTTTATGCCCTCTGTTACACCCGCCACACACCCCACCACTGTATTTTGGTTTTTCACTGTGATGCTCACCAGTTATTGTGACCTAGAATTTGTCACATTTAATGGTTGACAAAAGCAAAACTTGATTAATGATTCATCGATGCATTCAGTGAAGTGTAACTTCGCACCACCTCGAGTAAACAGCTTTGCAAAACTGCTATTTCTTCCAAGCTCACTGGGATCTATTTGCTTTGCATCAAGGGACTATCGAACATGGTGTTCCCTTTTCAGGAATGTATTAAAGTCATAATTTCACACAAAAAATGTAGGCAGTGGTTGCCGAGCTGTCTTGCTATAACTTTCTCCTTATTTCACTTTGTGCAGGTGTTGGCACACAGTTCCTCTGCATTGCAGTCGGGGTGCTGCTCATGGCCCTGCTTAGCGTGTTCAACGTGCACAACCATGGTTCTATGAACACCGCCATCTGCGTCCTCTATGCATTAACATCCTGTAAGGATGTGCCACTCACATTCTTTCGTGTTTTTTTTTCCTTCCAGGTTGTTGTAAGCCATTTGACACAAGTTTGAAGTAGTGGCCTAAGTATTTTTTTATGTTCAGCGTACGCATTTTCGCTGCATGCAAGAAAAGAGAGAAGTTTCAGTTAAGTCGAAAGTTGGCGATTGTCCTGTCAATTCATTCCTTTTGTGCCTATGTCTCCGTGCACTGCTTTATACATACACATGAAAGAAGTCTCTTTTTTTCTAGCCTTTGTATGCATTGAGTGCGACCTATGAAACAGAGTAAACGAGAGATGTCACATCTGCTACAGCTAGGCAAGTAGCGACGTTAAGTATGTTGCATGTTATCAGCTATTTTTACGTGAATTGAACAATTCTCAAATCTGATGAAACGAGCTCTCCTTGTTTACTCTCAGTGCTTTTTACACTACGCTTTTAGCATCGCAGATTTCGGTTAGCAAGATCTACATAAGGGCAGCATGTGAGAAAATTTTGAAAAAGAAAGGATTGTGCAAAAAACACGGCCCACAAAGGAAAGAGATGAAAATATTAGTGCAAACTTGCTACTGTTCGTGCACAGTTTGGGTAACTGAATTCATAGCACCAAGAGGGGGCAAAATCCAAAAAGAAAATATCCCCCACATTTGTGCAGCAAAAGACTGGTTAGTAAAACACCTGCGAGACCTGATTCACGGTTTGCAGTGGATGTTTTATCGTCTTTTTGTGGGAACTGGTTTTTGACATTTGAAGAGGCCGAAACTGAACACTAGGAAATTAGAGAGCAATGAAATTTGTGCCATATCGCTATGTCGCCGTGTTTTGCGAATGGGCATGCTGTCTCAGGAGTGCTTTCTAAGATTCAAATGAAGAGACTGGAAATGGCATGCTTCTGGCCACTGTGTTTCAATTGCAGGGAATAATTTCTTTCCACTCGTGTTCGTAGCATGTGGTTCATGAAAGCGTCTTACTGTGAAATTTTGATTGAGGGTGTTATGAACAGTTTAAGCAAGAACCAAAACTCTGTATAAGTATTCGAGGTAACCAACTGACTGTCACTTTGAAGGCATTACAGGAGCCACTTGCGTCCACTAATTTGTAACTCGTGGCCATTGTGTTGATAGCAAGAGATGGCATCATCACAGCTTGTTGCAGTACTTGCTTTCACTGTGACCATAGTTTAAGAGCGCATTTACTGTTAGAGTAATGTCTTTGAGTAACTGCTTGAGTAAGTGCTGCATTGCTGCCTTTACTGCAGGCATAGCGGGCTTTGTCTCCTCCAAGATGTACCGTCAGATGGGGGGAACCAACTGGATCACTAACATTAACCTCGTCTCCTGCCTTTTCTTTCGTAAGTGATGTTCTTTTTTTCTTGCCAGTTTAGTTCATTTGGCTTAGTCTAGTGGCCTGAGATTACAAATAGACATTACTGAGTGTATATAAAAAAAAACTGTGTTGAAACATCAGAATCAAGTGGTCACAGGTTTTTCTCAGGGTGTACAACAGCAGCAAACAAAAACAAGAAATCAGTGCAAGGTCGCTCTTTAAAGGCTGAGTAAATGGGCTCTGAGGGCCAAACAACGAAACGTTCCTTTCCTCAGTGAGGAAGCCTTCATTTTTGTGAGGCCGCCTTATGTCACTTTGAAAGCTTCCTTACTGAGGAGCCCTCGGTAAAGGCTTCCTTGGCGCTTCCTCAGCTTAAGGTTGCTTTGGGGCTACCTTCGTGCGCCCTTAGGTCCGCTCCTTGCCCTGAACGAGCGCTTCGCCTCACAGCTAGCCCACGTGATGTTTTCGTTTTCGAGGCAACCCTCTCACCCCACCCCTGTGGGGAGACGCGAGCGGCGAGCGTGCGTGCACTGCATTACGGAGGAAGAAAAGGAAACCTGTTTCCTTCCTCCGTGGGGCGTTTCAGTGTTGCTAGAATGCACCACGTTTTGCGCTCAACTGCGGTGGCTTTTCACATTCAGTAATCGTAGTTTGAAGAAAGCGTACACGCGTCTCTATATTAACACTTCAATTTGGAAGTGATGTGGTGACCCAACTTTTTTTTACAGAATAAACGCTTGTGAGCAAAGCTTATATTCGATAATCTCGAACGCAGGAGCGCGGCAACCATTCCTCCCGCGAGGGCGGGTTAAGGGAGCTTTCAGAGTACGCTTGCTTCCTCCGTCGGTACTTGGTTGTAAGGAAGCCTCACGTAAGGAGAGGACGCGGTCAAAGGAAAGGAACGTTTCGTTGTTTGGGCCTGACTCTCTTACACCTTCCAAACAAGCCTGCAAATTTATACAGAAGGCTGCTGGGATAGCATTTAGAGGTATTGCAGTGCTGCGGAGATGCTTTATTTAAAAAAAAAAATTCACACACCTCTATTCAGCACTTGTCCAGTCCTCTCTGCAAACAAGGTGACGTAAAGTTCCATGGGCATCGCACTGACATTGTGGATCAATCCTCTTCACTATAAAGCAACACCTTTACCCTGCTGTGATGCAGTTTTGGCAGCGCACTTGCCCCACATGTCTCGTATTTGTTTACCTTCTCCAGTGCCTCACATCGCACTTCCTCAGCTCACCACTCTGGCACAAGCGACATGTGAAGAAAATCTTCCTCAGTCGTTGACTGTGCACCAGTAGCATAACCGCTGACATTGTGTCGCATCACTGATGTGGACATGATCACGATGACAAGGCCTAGCAAGACACCAAAACCAGCCATAATGGTTGTTTTATTCCATGTAACTTCATTATTACACCACTTACTGCTAAATTTTCGGGGTAGCGTCTTCACATTGTGCAAGTGTGGAGTTATCTCTTCATTACAAATTTTGGACTGCAGAGGGGCAATATTCTGAAGCAGTATGTTGAGGTGTAAAATTACTGTGGGATCGGTATGCTTTTACAGCGAAAGCTGTTATGAGATCACAACTCAAGTCACGCGCAGTTGTTCGCCGCCGCCGGTGTCCGTAACCACATCGCACGAAATTAGAAAAAAACCTAGCACCAATGACAAAGTGGGGCTCGAACCCGGGTCCACTGTGTGCCAGCCCAGTATTCTACCACTGAGCTGCGCCAGTGCTTGGGACTTGTTGGCAAACTTGCCTTAACCAGGCTGGATGTCGGGAAAGCAATCATTTTAATACGACTTATAAAGTGTTTTAAAACAGCGAAAGAACAACCAGCCGTCGCACAATGCAAATAGCGTAATGAGGGGGCTCCAACCCTTTACAAAAGCTTGTTTTTGGTCCCCTATGAACCCTATTAACTGTGGCGCATACCCACTTCAGCCATAATTCCTCATCGTCGTCAGCCACTGCATGAACAATTGGCACAGAATTCCTTGCATGGGTTTAGCGGATACCACGCCTCTCAGAAGAATCGCGATAAATAGTGTAGCAAATACCGGCCTACTACCCAAAGAAATTTATTATTAATGCCCTAGTAGGTATCAACCAAGTGTGCTTGCACTGGTGCCCGAAGAGTGTTTTGAAAAGGCAGTGAAAAGCGGCTCTTCTAGCTTTCGCTGTGTCTGTGCTGTGCCATCTGCACAAACCTGGTGAACTTTTAAACATGTCCAGGAAACATTGCTAATGTGTAATCAAGTCTCCTGCAAACATGTAAGCCTTTACATAAAGCAGGGAACTTGAATAGATCCATCAAAGACACTTTAAAAATCAGTTGCTCTTTCTTTGGCGAACTTTGCTGCAGGTGGGACTGATTATTTAGGAACTGGTACTGATACAGGCACAGTTTGACTTCATAATCACAAAAGCGCTGTCAGTAACACTTCTATTGTTCACTGCATGTTCAATGGATATAAAAAAATGTACTTTACCTTTGTTCAGAAACGTCAGAAAAGTATTTATCATGGCACTTATGGTCTCAATTGATGATCATTGGTTGAATGTTGTTTATTTCTCTTCATTCAGAGCACTCACTGTACTCCATTTGTGCTCTTTTAAACACACTGTGCCTGAGTCAATTACTTGTGATGTACTGAGCATGCTACAAGAGTATTTAGGTATGCATATTGTTTCTGAAACAAGTGATGTGCTTGCCAGTGTATTTTTGTCAAGCACCTTGCCAGCTGGATGCTGTGGCAGAGATCGCTTGATATTTAGCTAACAGAAGAGTCTTGAAAGTGTGCACTTTTGATTTGGCTACTATGCACCAGTGAAGCTGATGCAAGACAATGTGCCTGTGCACAGGATGTGATGCTCATGTAGCTTGGCGAGACTTTTTCTGTTTCTTTGTATACGTAGTAATGTTATAGTGGTACACCATAGTCATGGAGGCACCACAGCCACCTTGAGGTGGCATTGTGTCTGTCTGAACCTGAAGTAGCCATATACGCATTCAAAGAAAAGAGAGAGAGAGAGAGAGAATGTTCAAGACCAAGGCAACATATATGGCATGGTGACATAACTTTTTGTCCCCTTCGGCCATTCTTCTCATGTAGCTTCCAGTGAACTCGCCAGCACAAAATAGCGAAAGTGCCCCGCCGCGGTGGTCTAGTGGCTAAGGTTGCTGACCCGCGCAGGTCGTGGGATCGAATCCCAGCTGCGACAGCTGCATGTATTTTCGATAAAGACGAAAATGCTATAGGCGTGTGTGCTCAGATTTGGGTGCACGTTAGAGAAACCCAGGTGGTCGAAATTTCCGGAGCCCTCCACTATGGCGTCTCTCATAACCATATGATAGTTTTGGGACGTCAAACCCTACATATCAATCAAAATAGCGAAAGCGTCGGGCATCCGTGATAATTACTTGTAAATCTGCTTGTATCTGAGCCCAAGAATTAGCTCTGGAATATTCACGAGTAAATCACTTTTTTGTTACTTGTAAATGTGTTGCAGGGCCCCTTGAACTTCTCCTGTGTGATCCTGCTTCATTGGGCTTTTCTCGCTTTCTCCAAACAGTGCCTCTGTTCCTTGTGTGGAGTGTCCAGAACTCGACTGCCTGGGCTTACCACTCCACCCAGGCTCTCCCAGCGACAACCGTCGTGTTGCTCCTGTTAGTTTGGATCTGCTGTAAGTGTACTATAAAACAGCCCTTCGATATGAGCATTACAGAGTAACCAAAGTTGAGGACTAGAATGCACTCGAAGGTCATTACACTCCAACCCACCTCTAACGACCCCAGATATAATGATCTATCAGTTATAACGACCATATTTCGGTGCACTTACAATTTTCCTATACTATCGTTTAAACTGAGTCCACATACAGCGAACATTCTTCAAAGCCTCCTGCATTAACAACGAACACGTACGACTCGGTCGCGGTAAAAATATGGCACATACAAAGTGAAAAAAGTGTTAAATAAACAGGCATTCTAAAGCTTGAGATAGGTGCTTGCTCACGTGTGCCCCGCTGCTGTTTACTTGTGATAAAGATATTGCAGTTCGCGGCAAACAGTGCACGCAGACTTCGGACGTTGCAAGCTAGGTCCCTCTCTTTGCAGACGTTTCTTCGGCAGAACGAAAATGAGGAGGAAAAAGAAAGCCAAAAGAAATAGGAGGTAGCATAAAGACTTGCGGTCAGCTTTCGCACGGCAAACTTTTTTGACACCGTTCTACAACCACCGACAATCAACCAACAATGCCTTCGAACACAACGCCTTGAGCGCGCGTTGCTCGCAAAATTTTTCATTGTGTTAAACTAACAGGCTACTCGCCGCACCCGAGCATGATCCCGAGTGAAGCATGCTCAAAGAAAGCACAAACGGGCGCATATTTTGGATGACAAGCGAAATGGCATGCAATGACAAGAGCCGATTAAGCGACGTGCAGTACGCAAGCAGCCTGGCATGATTGGTTCGACATGTCAGTACCGCACTTCAGTAAAATGGCATGAGTTCATTGCTAACCTATTTGAATTCACTCTAGAGCAAACGGGCATTGTTTAACACGCGAAAAAGCATAACTTGTCAGCAGAGAGGTTGTTCGCACTTTTGAATAAAAATATACAGTAAAAAAATGGTTTGGCCACTAAGTGGACATTTTTATTGGCAGCGAACTACTGATACTACCATTTATCGCGGCACCTTCGAGTTCGTTATAAACAAGTTCGACCGTATAACGAAGTCGCATCCGACAGGAAAATAAGTTCATTATACCCGAGGATCCATCGTAAGTGCATAATTATAATACTTATCTGTGACAAGACTATTGTTGTCATAAGAAGTAACTTCATTATAACCAGCAATTTGTTAGATTCATGCTCATTATATCTAGGTTTGAGTGTACCACTAAAACATGAAAAAATATTTGTAGGCTTGAATACCATTAAAAATGGATGAGAACAGCATTTTGGACGATTTACATCAGTACGATTGCACAAAAAGAATGACACGAGCAACAGAGAAGAAGACGAACGTTGCACTTTTGTGTTGTCCGTGTCTTGTTTATTGTACTGTTATACTGAAGTAGCATTCGAAACGTTAGCTGTTTGCTGAGCACTGGTAAAACTTGTACAATTGAGCTCGTGGACTTGATGTTTGGCCGTCCTCGGCGCTTTGGAAGAGCACTCACACACGGTGACATTGCTGACATAGGACTGGTGTGCATCCGTCCATCGCAGTGATAGGCATAGCTTTAAGGTATGCACATTCCCGGTCTTTATGCATTTCTCTGCTGCCAGGTTTCCATGACAGTTCTTGAGAGAATCATGTGCACATCTTTGTTGCGATAAAGGTGGCTACCCATTGACCCTGATGGGTGGCATTCTGGGAAAGAACTGCGCGGGACCCTTCGAGGCTCCCTGCCGAGCCAAGCTGATTGCGAGAGGAGTGCCACCTGTGCCGTGGTATCACTCCCTGCTTGTCCATTGCTTTGTGGGTGGCTTCCTGCCCTTCAGGTGAGGCCTTTCATCTTTTGTTGTTCAATGTTTTGCTTTGTGAGTGCATCTTTGTCCTGTTGATGATGATAGCATGCTACTCATTGCAGTCAGTGTAGCTTTACCCTTTAAGGCGCTTTGTACACACAACTTGTTCTTTCTAGTTAAGCCAAATAGCGGCTAAGAAAGGGCAAGGCACAGTGAGCTTTGGATTAATTGATTAATAATTGTTTCTTCATTTGAGTTCATTTTGCTGTGTACTGCTAAATATGATCACTTTATGGAAGGCACTGCCGTGCATGTTGAATCAGTTGTCTGATGTGCCAAATTTTTTCTATAAGCCACGTCAAAGGTATTTGTTTTGTTTGCTCTAATGAATGTAACAAAGGCAAAAACTGTATCTCTAGCCTGAGATGATTCTATTTATGCAATAATAGAACATGGATAACTTCATGATATATTGATATTTAAGTACAATTTAATTTAGGTTAATTACTTTGAAGCACACAGATCAGCATATTATTACATTGTTCTTGCTGCAATACAACGTCGTGTGCCTGGAAATAATGTCGTGAAAATTCTATGCATTTGCAGACAGTTCTTCATAAATCGCACTTAGAAGGGTTAAAGGGACCGCGACACCCAATTTTTCATCAGAGTCTTTGCTACGTGGGTTAATCCATCTTCATTCACAAGTAAGCTGGCAAAATTTTAGCACCCTCAGTTGAGTAATAACCTATAATTTAATATTTTTACAAACATGCAAGTTGCCTGACAGTCGGGCAGCACTGGCACACTTGCTTGCTGTGGCATCATAAGCAGTAAGCTGTGCAAAGTGTCTGCATTCCGGCGAACAATATTGTTCTGCTACAAGCTACGTGTGAGATTGAGATAAGTTAGCTTTCTTGAGCTTCGCACTGAAATTGAGCAATTTGTAGAAACCGAAACTTTAGTAGAAAACAGCGGCTCCACTCCCTCCAACACATGACGTCACTCGCGCCATGGCAAACTGGTGTTCGCCGGCGGTGGTTGAGATTTACAAATGGCGGCTTCTAGGTCTTGTCTTACACTGAAATATTCTTTTTTTGGCACTCTGTTCTAATGTGTATAGGCATAGTGGACCCTCTAGCTACTACAAATTTTCATTGAAAACCACAAATCATTGGGTGGCCGTCTCACGACCCTTTAAAAGAGACTATCATGCTGTTCAGAACTGCTGCCTCATTAAAGTCGGAGGGCCTTTAGCCACCCCATAGACTTCGTGGCTCGCTCAGAACCTGTGCTTCAATTCTGGCTTCCGCCAGGCCTCAAATTTTTTCGATGCGCAGCCAATGTAAATTCAGATGCTAAGGATATAGAAGACTAGAAATCAATATTTGAGCTCTGATTAGTACAGCTTATATTAAGAAAGCAAACACCGGTTCTAGTTAGCTATGCTGTTAATGGTTAACACATCCCAAACACATAGCCTCTTGTTATAAAATAATACAGTATTGGTCATTTATAGCTGGTGTATTAGGAGGGGGAAGATGGTTGATCTTGGAAGTGTATTTGGCAAGATGCAGTTCATTTGAGGACGCACCATGCTTTCGAAACTTGCCCAGTTATTGCATGTAGCGCTGGTAGTACTATGTTCCTTCTGTTCAGTTTTTCACTTCAGCATTTCACTTTATGTCGATTATGCTTGTTTCTTTCATAATCAGTTTAGGTTAAAAATAATGTGACACATTCACATGCACATGCTTTCCTGGGTCAGGACTAATTTGCTTCGGCTGTGAAGCTTTCTGTCTGGAAAATCAGTGTTAGTTTTATTCATAGCTTTGGCCTATGAATAGAAGTATTTCACTATTGCTGTGTGTGTATTTCGGGATACTTATTGTGTTTTCGCGAAAGTGTCTCCGAAATATCCCACTACATCAAAGAAAAATGTATCTCAGTATCTGTATTTTAGGCTTCTAATCCATGTATTTCGATATGTGTTCTGGAATACTTTTTCAAGTATCTCTACCCAGCCCTGAACGAAGACTTGCAACGGGGCATAGTGAAATGAGTCAGTGACCGCCTTGATTCCTTCGATGTAGGCCTAAGCACAGCTGCGCTGATCTTGTGCAGTGCCATCTCGGTGGAACTGTACTACATCTTCTCGACCGTGTGGGGGCGGGAGCACTACACGCTGTACGGCATCCTCCTGGTGGTGGCGCTCATCCTGTTCAGCGTGACGGCCAGCATAGCGGTGGTGCTCACCTACTTCCAGCTCTCCTCAGAGGACTACCACTGGTGGTGGAAGGCCATCTGCACCGGAGGGTCAGTTTGCTTTCGGTGCTGCTACTTCTTTTCGGGTCTCTCCTAAACTTCGTTTATTATAAACAATAATATGCTTGCAAGGAGCAAAATTAAATAGACATGAATTCTGTGGTGTACTTAGAGGGACACTAAATAGAGGACAGTTTTTTTTAATTTTTAATTATTGAGTTACCCTCTTATGATAGAAAATCACCATGATAATTACCACCATGAAATGCTGGTGGCAAGGTACCTTTGAACATCCCATGCCAATCTCCATAGCAATATAAATTTTAACGACATCTACTCGAGCCTACATAATTCCTATCTGGTAAAAATATTGCCCTCTGAGCATGTCGGAGACCTGGCATGCCAAGTTTGAGGAAGTTTTGTAGAGCCAGTGTTGCTAAAATGTGAAAGGTGCACTTTAAAATTTGCGACATTAATTTGTGCGTCACAAATTCTACACTTTTGTGACGTGAACATCTGAGACATCACGCTGAGAGTGTGGCCAAATTATTCTTATCATCGTTATAATCTATTATCACAACTGAAGAACGTGAAGGTGTATCTAATGCATCAGTAGTGCTCAGTAGTGGAAAAGAAAGAAGATGCAAAGACTTATCTACGCATGTTCATGCAATCAGCGAACCTATCAGTTCAGTTGCAGTGTAGTGTACGTGAAAGATAACTATTCAGACACACTCAATTTCTTCTTCACGCAGGTTTATCTTTACCGTATTTACTCGCATAATCCTCGCACTTTTTTTGTGCAAAGTTTTGTGCAAAGTTTTTGTGCGGTGCAAAGTTGGGGGGTGCGAGAATTACGCGGGGAAAACTTTCTACGAATACGTACAGCGCGAAAAAGAGAACCAAGTGGCCGCAAATCGGGATTCTCACACCAGCAACTAACAGCAAGCGTTAAGTAGTACTTAACAAAACTTACCTCAACAATAAAAGCAGAGGTTTAACACAAGACAGGATTTATTTGTGACACAAAAAGTTGAAGCAAATAGTCGAGAACTAGAATACCATACGCAAAGCTTGTGGACGTTGCGGGCGTAGCGTTAGCGTTCGTCGCTCAACAGGAGCCCTCAAAAGGTAAGCGTAGGACGTCAGTATTGGGCTGATGGCCATTTAACAGAATTGTCCGCAGTTTCCTTCTGTATAAATAAAGTTTACCATCAATCCCAGTTTTAGGCACACGGCAGGCCCAAGCGTCTTGGTGGCTTGCAGCTGCCGTCACCAGTAGCGAACACAAAACTCGTAGGCTCCGAAGGGCCTACCGGCGGCCCTGTTGCCGTTGTTTAGTGCATGATCTATCACTTGCAACTTGAAGCAGTCGTGTAGCTTCAGTATTGCTCCATACCATGCCAAGATTACCGACACTACATACAAAACACGCCGCAAGGCGCACCGGCCACTTCAGCTTGGATTGAATTTCCGTGCAATAGTACGCTTGATGCTTAAGAGATGGCGCCAGATGGTGCATGCTATCATCATCAGCGGCTGTATCGAGTAGACGACATTATTGCGGCAGTTTTCGGGGGTAGCGATAATTACTCGAGGGAAAAAAGAAATCGTATTTTTGTTGGGCGATGTGAGGGGCGCGAGAATTATGCGAGTGCAAAGATTACGTGAGTAAATACGGTAGTTGGCTCCACACTTGCTACCACTATTATCGCGATTCCAGGCCTGCACCATTAAACACTTTTCTTTGATCCTGTGGCAGAACAAAATTTAGCATTCATGTTTACACGTCCCATCTCTTTAACATGAATACATACCACTTAGCTCAGTTCTTTATCTAATCTTACTTTGTGAATACTTTGAAGAGGAACCAACTAGAATCTTCGGTTGCAGGTCCACTGGTGCGTTTGTGTTCTTCTACTCGGCATTCTTCTACTTCTTCCGCTCCAACATGGGCGGAACCTTGCAAGCGGTCGAGTTCTTCGGTTACAGCATCCTGACGGCATACGTGTTCTTCCTGTCCTGGGCACCGTGAGCTTCTTTTCGGCGTACAGGTTTGTGCGCTACCTGTACAGCACCATCAAGACGGACTGATCTGCTGCTCCCCGTTTGCGCGACTGCTCTTGCTACTAGTTTTGTGGCTGCCTCCGTTGCCGACAGCACAGCGGCAGCTGCCAACTTGTTTGCTTATGTGCAGTGTACTTTCGTGCACGATCAACGCTGCCGTTACGCAGTTGTGTTTCTCGCGATTGGGGCCGTGAGCTTGACTTTGAGAACTGCACTTTGCTACCCCAGTGTTCGTTGCCTGTGCCTGATCTTTCTTTCTTCTTGGACTCTCAAGAGTGGGTCTATTTGCATTTTGTACAAGTGTGAAGGTAAATTACTGAAAAGTGAATACGAAGGAAAAACTGTACATATTTGAAATCAGATCATTCTTTGTTGATGCATCACCGAGCGATTGAATATGTTATAGTGAATTCAGTTTGCAGTGCATAAGCAAAATGGTTCTTGTGCATTTTTTGGTGGTAATGAAACTCTGCCAGCCAAAGTCCCTACCGTAGTGTTCTTTCATGCACTTTTTCCAGTGCACTGTCGTCTTTCCACACGGTGCCATCTTCTCTTGAAATAGTACTCGCGAGGGTTAAATCAGTCGTGCTGATCTCTGGCATAGTGGCAATGCCTTAGTTCTGCACTGCACAATCATGGTAGAGTCCCTTGTTATACTTGCACCGTGAAGTCAGTTGCGTTTTGATAGTTCAGCTCATGAAGTCTTTTAGTATCTCATGGGGCAGGTAACAAGCCTGAAACATTGTGGCCTTTCTCTTCCTTTCCTTAGTTACTATTGAAAGGCTCAAGCTTGGAACTGGAAAGTGACTCTGTTTTCGTAGGAACAGTCTTGTGAATGAGTTGCAGAAACATTGATTCTAATATAGGGCATTTTAGCGCTCATAGCGACTTTCCTTTAGTGTCATAGTGCACTGTTGGCTGTAAGACGTATGTTTTGATTTTGTGCTGGCCTCATTGTAACTGACACACAATGGGCTAACCCGTTTGTAGAGCTTGCCAAGATTTACTAATTATGTTGCTAACATTCGAAATTTATTGGAAGTTAAAAAGTTCCTATCATTACGAACTTTAGGCGATAGTAATTGAAGTGCACCATATTATGAAGTGAAAGACAGCAGAGCTATACAAGATGCCTCTTATTTCGGTGTTCACTCTCTTGCTACTTAACTCGGTGGTAAAGGGAAAGTGTGTTTGTTTTGCATTGTCATTATTCTCTCAATACTTTGTGCCCATGCAATCGTGAAAGTGTAGCTGGTTTCAAACCATATACAATGAGGTGCAAAGTTGTTCAGAACTTTAGACTGTATTGTGGTCAGGGCCAATCCTTTAAGTCAAGTCTGTGAACACATGGTTCACCTGTATGGTCTTGCTCTAATCGCATAGTGTCTCCAGAAATTAACTTCAAACGTTATCGGCACTTAATTTCGCACATCTTTTTACTTTTTGCTTCACGACGGAACTTTTGCTGCAAGTCGGTGCAGCCTTGTATTATTTGGGGCTCGCCATTAAGGCTGCATTTGAAAAGCCCCAGGTTTCTTTCTATATAGTGCGAGCATAGAACTTTCACCGATTGGCTACAATTAGTAACTGCGAAAGGTATTGCAGACAGTTTATGTAATGTTCACATTCCTTTCATAAGATGTGATGCGGGACAAATAGACATCACCCTTTGCTAGCTCATCTAGTTACTAAGGTGCAGGAATGGTACTAATTATAATAAGGCTTTCACTTAGCAGGAAATTAACTTGCTATTTTATAATGGAGAGTGAGCCTTACCTCTTTCTAACTTGTACATAAAATGTCTTCATAAGGAAGCTGAAAGCCCACTTTATTGTCTCATTTTTATACTTCTTTCTCACTTCTCCCTTTTCCTAATTAGTGAAGTAAAAGCAGGACAATTTGAAGTCTTTTCATTCAAGTTGACAAATAATTGAATTACAAGGCTGTTGTCAGTAAATTTGTATGTTTATTAACATGAAAAAAATGACACCCAAACGTAACTTCTAACATCGCACCCACATATCACCATATGGAAAAAAAAAAAACATGTGACATTGCACAATGCTTCAGCATGCCTTAAAAATTTAGAAATAGTGCAATTACCAGTTTTACAGTACTAAGCATGCAAAAAGACGAAACTATGAAGCAGCCGGCTTTCGCATCCTTTGCAGATTGTACCTGTAAAACACGTTCAGCCCCTACGACCGTCGTTGAGTGGAGAACAGGCGGTTGAGCTGACTTGGGCTGCCTGCATGTAAACACAGTGCCGACAATGTCCCGTCCAGCAGCGTGGCAAGACTTACACTGTCGCACGGGTCATTAGGCACCGTGTTCAATGGAGTTTGCTTTAGTTAAAAGCCCGTTGTACTCAAAATTTTAGGCCCCTCTGTAGATCAAATCGAGGCTCCGCTTTCACTGCATATTCATTTAAAGTGCGAACTAAGCAGTGGCACCATAAAAAGAATGCTGCAGCGCGAGCGCTGGTGACCTTCTGGTGCCCTCGTTTTGTTTCCTTCTTGGGGTGCAGTGCCATGACATTTCTCTGGTTCGAAGAAACACTGTTTGTTAACCTTTCACTTCAACGCAATCTGTGTTCTGAAACAGGCAACTCAGTGTTGCCATACCGCATCTGTAAAGTTTCTTTCACTTCTTTTTGGCAGTGCATGTTCTTTGGTTGACTCGCGTAATATCGGTCGTATTTAGTGCAATATTGCCTACCGTCGTACTGTTTCTCGTCGTCATGCTGCACACACACACTCACTTGCAAGTTTTGAGTAGCACAGAATGCATTTTTTCGAGTCGGTAGGTTTCTCTTCTTATTGATTGATTAGGTGTAAATGGCGAAAGCTGGTTCAGCTGCTATGTCTTCCCGTTCGTCTGCCGTGGTGGTTCTGGTCATCCAAAGGCTTGAGAGAAGACGAAGAGCGTTGCGATTTTTGAGGCCTTTGAATTGCAGAAGATACTGTAGTCCACAGCATAATTAGAAGTATTTTTTTAACCCGTCAAGAGGCAACCCCAGTCTCTTAAATATGAAGTGTTACAACAGTTAGGCACGTAATGCCATTCATTGTTTTGTGTTAAGTGTATTTTAGCATACGTAGCACAGACAACAGGTGACTTTTCTCTATGTTCCATCTGTGATTTTGGGCATCTGACCTAAGTTATGCAGTACAGGCTGTGCAGTCCAGCATAAAACCATGCTTCTTTGTTTCATGGTTTGTGACTGATATACACCTAACCAAGTAGCACCAATGTTGCTTCTCAATCTTTTCCAGAAAATTGAGTTGTGGATCTCCATATAGTGATTATCTGGGTGGCTCTAAAGTGTGGAAAGCCTGTTTCCTGGCAGGCATTTGTTCGCATGAAATGTGTTTCTTGCTGCTTTAGTAGCCAAAAAAAGTACTACTCCCAACCTGTAAGTGCAAATAAAACTTTATTGCTTCGAGCTCCATCACAAATTAACCGTCCTCCCCATTTCTGACGTAGCTTGTGCCCTTAGCATCCATCAGTAACTCCCTGACCAGTTACGAAGCCAACCACATATGCGAACCTTTTGCCGAGTTATTTATAAACAGTCATATAAACATTCATTCATAGGCAAAACATGCTGTAGTGTATAAACTTGACCAAGATGTTTAGAAGCAAAACAAGTTCAATCTATTCCGCTACAGTCGCGAGTTTCATTACCAAGGTTCCCTAGTGTGCACACTGTTGTAATCAGTGGTGTTTTAATGTTCGTCACCTGAGCACACTTGAAGAACTAGTCACATTATGGATCGAGTGAAATGATCAGGCCATGGGCATGTCATGCGTACATGGTTATAAGATGCGCGTGTGATTTTGACGTATATTCGGGCAGTTGTGTTCACTTGTGCAGTCACTCATTTTGCTACTTGTTGCGCATGAAAGCATGCGTGTTTACATGGGAATGTTGCGTTGTTAGCGTGCTAGCTAATTGAAAAAAAAGAACTGTGAAAGTTGTGTTTCTTGAGCTGCTGCCTTGTGGTTTTATGTACTGATGACTGCATGTTTATTTATTGTATGTTTAGTGGTAATAAATTATGTTTTTGTTTGCACAAACCTTGTGATATTTTGCTTACTGGTTCATACTATTCTGCTTTTTATTCTAGCTTGTAGGGAATGATGTTTTTAGTGTGGACCCCTTGCAGCAAACTTTGTGCGCTTAAAGGGCCCGTAATCCATCCAGAGGTCAAAATCCTGTTTTGGTGGGGAAATTGTGCACAAGTGTACAACGAACACGGAGCCTTTTTCGAAACGATGCTGTAATAGCGGAGTTAGACACGTTTGATTATTTAAACCGTGACGACTACACCTTGAGCTCTCTCCTGCGCTTCCTTTCCACTGGTATCCTCTCCCACGCCACATCGCCCTCTCGCCAAAGGCCCCTCCCGATCTCGCGTGGCATACGTCATCGCCAATGCACTGCTTGAAACACCGTCTACTCGTGGTTGCCGCGATTCCAGCCGTCGACTTCGTCTGTTGCGTTGTAGCTGCGTGCTTGTTGGCAAACTGTGGCTTCCGCAATCGTGCCGGTATGGACCCTGCGTTGCGGGCACGTCTTCAAAGGATCGCCAATGCGATGGACCCATACGGGGACACCCCGCGCCCCACACGTGTTGCGCGCAGGCAAAACGATGAACAACAAGCAGTGCGGACAGCTGCTTGCAGACTCGCCAGAAGTCGTAGGCGCTTGCCCGAGCAATCACAGCATATTTGGCATCTTTGGTTCGGGCGTCAGAGATATGGCACGGCGCGTCACGCGGAGGCTCGAAAGGCCTGGAAAAAAGGAGGGATTGTTTTTTGGAATCAGCGGCATGCCAGCAGCTCGTAGTGCTGCCGCGTGTAGAATCATTGGTTGCGACGGCATTCTGCACACGATGCAAGCGTTTACTTGTAATGCTTGAAAAAATATCGGAGGTGGTTTACAGGCCCTTCGATGTAAAGAACAAGGAATAACACTTTCGAGCTTCTTTATGCCATTCTTTTTCTTAAAATAATTTCAAGGGGAGGGAAATGCATTCAGAGGCAACAGATGGTTTGGCAATATGATAAAAGGAGGAAATTACTAGGCACTGAAAAAAGCATATAATGCATAACATAGACAACTTGAGCACTGTGAAATGGTTTTAGCAGCTTTAGTGCCATAGTAGACTTATAAGCGAACCACAGTGACAATTTATCGTTTTTTTTAATAACCATCTGAAGACGAGGAAATAAGTGCTCACACATAGGAATGTGCCATGTAATTCATTGCAGTGCTTGTTTTTGCAAATAATTTGTGCATTCACGTTATGTAGAAAGTTTACGAACAGTTACACTAGCTTCCAATGTTTCTATGAATTGCTGTGCTTATCATGTATATATGAGTACAGCCAGGCAGCACATTATTCTTGTTCACGTATAGTGTATATTGTTTTTTCCAAACACCCAGCACCTCCACCAAAATGTTGCAAACATGTTTTCAACTTATTTACAGTAGGCATTAGACCAGCAGTCAAGATAGCGGCAGTTTTTTCTGAACACTAACACGTTGTCGTCCTCTTTTTCACACTCTACATCATAGTCATAGCTGCAACCCCGCAACAATATTTATATTTAGCAACATCGCCATTCCTCTATTCTCATTGCTACACAGTGTTGCCAAGTTTGGCATCACTATGACATGATAATGTTGTCTCCAATCTTGGGTCATCGTCAGCCTGACTGCACCCACTGCATGACAAAGGCCTCTCTCATTATCCGCCAATCAACCCAGTCTTGTGCTTTCTGCTTCTACATTATACCTGGAGACTTTTTAATGTCATCGGCCCATCTAGCTTTCTTTCTCCCCCTTGCATGTTTGCCTTCTCTGGGAATCCAGTCAGTTCCCCTTAAAGGGACACTAAAGTCAAATAACAATTTAAAACAGAGTGGAAGCTCTATGTATGGTTTCTAAAACGACAATATTATCAAAAGCAGTGCCCTACTTACCGAGAAATGAAAGTAAATGCATGAGAACACATGCGCCACAGTAGGACATTCGCAAAATGATCCCGTTGTCAGAGTTACAGCCTACCATTATTTACTAGTAATTTAGATAGCTCTACTAAATAACCTTCCATGCATCAAAAGACATAATAATATGCTGCTTGTTCGTTATGTTTGGTTCATGGAAAAAAGAACAGCCGGACGTTACTATGGGGAATGGCGCGAGCGGTTCAAAAGTTCAATTTTCGCCTGGTTGATCTGGACAGGTGGTGCCATCTAGTGGGGCCCAGTTGAACCAAGCCTGTGTGCCATCTTGGAGCCAACAGCATGAAATTGTTCAATGGCCGCTGTTTCTGCTGTTGCTCCTGCTGCTTTCATTCTGATGGTACTAGTGTCAGCGGCCTTGCAGCAAAGTCGGGCAACGTTGTGCACAGCAACAGTGAGGCGAGACTTCTGCTTGAGGCGGTAAATTGAAAAGAGCTAACCTGATGTGGACCACTAAAACCTGATTTTATCTAAATATAAGCACTTTCTTGGCACAAAAGTAACACTACTACGTTTCTGGACTGCTATTTGAACAATACATGTTGACTTAACAGTTGCCTTTAATGTCCCTTTAATGATCTGCAATTATTTTGCCTACGCGTTACATGCCCAATCCATGTCCATTTTCTCCTCTTGATTTCAACTATGATATGCTTAACCCCAGCTTGTTCCTCGATTTACTCTACTCTCTTCTTGTCTCTTAAGGTTGCACCAATCATTTTCCTTTTCATCGCTCCCTGCGTTGTCCTCAATTTATGCTGAACACTCTTTGTAAGCCTCCAGGTTTCCGCTCCGTGGATAAGTACCGGCAAGATTGCGACCATCCCTAAAGAGGAAGGTTGCATACCTTCCTCTTTAGGGATGGTCGCAATCTGCCAGTCATGATTTGAGAGTGCTTGCGGAATGTACTCCACCTCATTCTTATTCTTCTAGTTACTTCACTCTCATGGTTAGGATCTGCAGTTACTGCCTGTCCTAAGTAGACATATTCCTTTACCACTTCCAGTGTAGACAGCATTTTTGTAGAACGACTTTATTGTCGAAATTAAGAGACTAATGTTTCCCAGCCTTGATTGCAGCAAAATGTGATCCTTTCAGATGTGAATAGCATGTAGTACAACATACTAAAGAAAAGGGCATGAAAGACAGAGCGCTAGAAAAGAAGGCACAAACAACAGCGCTGTTGCTTCCTTGTTCCGGTGCTCACTCTTTTGCACTGTTTTCTTCAGCCATATTACCTGGCACAGTGGTGTAGCAGTTGCGGTGCTCGGCCACTGACCCTGAAGGTTCGATCCGAACCATAACTGTCGCAATTCAGTGGAGGCGAAATGGCAGAGGCATGTGCGATTTCAGTGCGCGCTAAGAAGCAGTCAAAATTTCCGGAGCCCCCTACTAAGGCCTCTCTCATAAACACATCATTGTCTTAGAACGTAAAAACCAAGATGTTATAATCTTCAGCTATGTTATACCAATTCATGTCCTTAGCATCCACTTTTGATGTAGCGGAAGTTATAGAACTTGAAAGTGCTATATTAGGCCAATAAACCGGTGAAGGCTTCTTTCTGTGGCGTAAGTTTTATGGTGTTCTGCAGTATGACAAATTCGGTAGCAAAGTTGGGCTGGTTGCTATAGTGAATAAATACTTAATTAGCGAATATTTCATCCCTTCTATGAGACACTTTCATTTTGCTAGTAATTTAGGGCACCTCAATGAATTCTCCACATTGCACCATAATATGCATATACTTGCAGCACAATTTAATTGCTTATAGCTGTGGATTTGTGGTTTATGTAAGGAAGGGTATGTATATAGGAACGGAGAATATTTCGATGTACAGTATGGACGAGAACCCATGCTATCGTTTGACACGCACCTTTCTTTCATTACCCACTCATCAAAATGCGTCCTTGATGTCGTACCTAGAGCTCCAGAAGCTCGCTTGTTTCTTAGTGATTCGCGGGAAAGTTGCGGCAACGACTCGTCTACAGTTTGCCTGGCACCGTAATGCCCACTTACACCGAGGTGACACGGTCCTGCTCTGGACGTTGTCACGGCAATTTGGTCTGTGTGAGAAGTTGACTTCGCCATACTCCGGTCTGTTCCGTGTCGCGCTCCAGGTCACCGATGTGACATACGAAATCGAGCCTCCTCGCACCACCTGGGCGCTATCGTGTTCGGGCATTGTTCACGTAACTCAACTGAAGTGACATCACTTGGAACAGCCGAGCACGCGTACTGAGATGCACGTCCCTTCGCCGCCAGTGGTGATGTCACGGCGACAAAGGCAACGTGACATCAACCCCGTACAGTCGCAATCTTTTTGAGAGTGAACACGGCAGCGCGTGGCTTTCAGAGCTCGGAGCGGTGGCAGCGAGAAGTATCGCTCATGCGCAGTGCGGCCAGGTGGCAAAAATTCTGCCGTCGTGCGCATTGCGTCAGGCGAGCTAGCGCGTGTCGTCTGCTGCACGCGCACGACAGTAAAAAAGCCGTGTGCCTCAAAGTGGCAACAATGTATAACTGCCAGCTACGCTCCTTTCGATATACAGGTAAACTTGAAAATATGTTATTATTTTTTGCTGGCGTTTTCTGGGTCATCGTTAATCTTTCAGTGGGCACTTTCTTCGATGCACATTTTGTGTTGCAGCATACCTGGCGCCGGTGCACATTCTAAAGGTATTGAAGATGCGTCTAGAAAAGCGCTGGATCGCGATGCTCTTCTGGCAAGCTTGGCGATTTGTGAAAATACGCGGGAATATACATGAAATCGCCTATGTGCGAAACCCTCTTTACGTGGAGACTGCGGACAAACGCAAGGTTCGCCAGAGTAGCAGAATCTTTGCGGGCATCGTAACTTTGGCTCACTATTTTTTATACCTTCCAGAATGGCAGCAGTGGTTTTGTTTTTTCAAAGGGGGACATAACAAAATACAAGTGTAACATTAGGTTAAAGTATTCTAGATTACTGCTAGAACAACAATAAACGTACCAGTCTTTCACCAAACGTGCACCAAATAACAGTTTGGGTATTTGCATTCCTTCGCCTATTCGTTGTACTAAAATAACGCAAAAAAGAAAAATGCGAAAACCAAGTGACAAGGCAGGCATAAAATACAAGGCATTTGAACTGAAAGCACCCAAATTTTTGTTGTGGTCGTAGTAGGACCAGCAGGAAGGCCGAAAATGAGCTAGCAGACGACAAACGAGCGCTGCGATGACGTGATGCGCGCGAAGTGAAGCTACCCCGCTTGCGCATGCGCTCAGATACTGTGACGTGTCGTCTAACGGCGCTAGTAGTTCTGAAAACCACGTGCTCCTGTGTTTGCTCTCAAAAAGATTGCGAATGTACGTGCATCGCTGACAGCGTCAGCATAATATATCTAAAAGATGCAAATGTTTACGATAAAGGCAGCTCATGACCGATGCAGTTGATACAGTCTTTCATTTAGAAAACATGGCCAAAAGCTTTCCTTTACGCAAGAGCTACCTTTAGTAGCAGCTTTAGAGTTAAGTTTGAGGACACATTTGTTAGGCCTACTATCCTCGCTCTCGTGAAGTTTTAACCGCCAAGTTGGTACCAGAAACAGCGCCGCCGGTGAGGAAAAGGCCACAGGCTGTGCCGTATATGCGCACAGTTTCTCACAACTTGAAGAAGGTGGCGAATGGGTACTGGTTACCTATTATTTTTTTTTGAGCCCTACGGATATTGGCCGCCATTTGTCCACGCGTCGCCATACCCGGAAAAGCTGACTCTCTGTGGTAAAAAAAAAAATCAGGCCAGTTGCACTTTGCACGGTGTTCGTGGCCTAAGAAATTCTATTTACAAGCGCCAATGTTAATATTGTCCAGACCAGACGCTGCGGCAAAGCAAGGGAGCATGGTTTTCAATTGAAAGCCATGCTCCCTTGTAAGTATATAATGCACCAGTGACATGTCACAGGCCTGCCTAAAGAAGGAGCACAACTTTTTTGAGATCGCGATGTCATGTGCGTGGGGTTGTACGCCATTGTCCTGCGCATATATAAATGCGCGCACGTCTGCATGTATATAAACAGAAGCCTTTTTTCAAATAAGTACAGTTGCAGGTGACGCTCTATCCTATCACCTCGTCTACGCGGGTCAACGCGAGCTTTCGCGGCAGCGAAACCAGAACCGAACCCGGCGGGACGCCTGAGAGCAGGGCGCACCCTCGTACTCAGTAGACAATGCCCCGGTGGCCTGCCAGAGGGCGCCCTCGACAAAGTCACGTGATGAGCAGCTGTTGGAGCGTCAGACGAGCATGCAAAGCTGTGGTTAGCGGCATGTCGGAGTGTGGCGTGCAGCAAAAGGACACGACGTTCACAAAGATATTCGTGGGCGGACTGCCGTACCACACCACTGACAAGTCCCTGCGGCAGTTCTTCGAGTCCTTCGGCGACATCGAGGAGGCTGTGGTCATCACCGACCGGCAGACGGGCAAAAGCCGCGGCTATGGTTTCGTAAGTACCACAAGGCGTCCCTCTCGCCTCTCCCTTTCAACCTAGCCAGAACGCGGTTCAAAATGCGCCGCGCGTCGCTTTGGGATGTGCGGACCGCTGAAAGGCCGTGCGATCGTGTGGCACGAGCGCGATTAGCGTGCGATCGAACGTCTGTATCGTCAGGTGAGAATCTAAAAAGTTAAAGAAAGTACCGCGACCGCGTCAGGAAGACCTCGAGTCCGAGCGCCTGTGCGCAGCAGTGTGACGTCGCCTTTGGGTGTATGAATCATGTGTCCGTCGGCGATCTGTCGCTTCTTTTTCGAGGGCGATCGTCGCTTGGAAAGAACATTGATTTACCGAGATTGTGTTGCTCTTAGTGCAGGGGGTTCCGCAAAGTCTGAAACGGACGCACTCCTCCCTGCAAACGCGTTTGTTCCCCGCTTGACGGTTCTCTCGAAAACATCCATCGACCGAGTGAACTGTTGATCATATCGCCCACTCCTCCGCCGCGAGGGACAAAAGACTTTGGCGTACTACGTTGAGCGCCTCGATAGTTCGGAGCGAGCGATTAGAACGAAAAGAAAGAAGCAACGCTACGGCAGCTCGACAGGGAAAAAAAAAAAAAAAAAAACTTGGTGAATGCACGATTAGAGTAGCGGCATTGTCTCGCGCAGTTGATTGTATCGGCTGTTGTGTGAACTTTATTTTTATGACAATCTCCGCCAGTGGACTTAGTTTATACATGTCTTGGCGTGTGCCGTACCTTGCCTCGAAGATTTCTTCGGGCTTGGCTTTGAAAAACCTAGGGACGGCCATTTTGTATGTGTTCTCGTTTTTGGTCTACTCTCGATGGCCCTCGCATCTCGTGCGTCGGCTGCTGCTTCACACCCTTGGTGCGCGCGGCGTAAAAAAAAAAAAAAAAAAACATAGAAAGAAAGAGGCTCACGAGATCCGTAGCCCCGTCTCCCTCTTTTCTGCCCACAACGAAGGGTTTTCGTGGCCCGTTTTGTTCTTATTCTTTTTTTTTTTCACTTTTATTTCAGCTTTTTGTTCCCCCTCCGCTCCTTGGACGCCCTTTCTTGAATTTCTCGCTTACTCAAACAGATTTCACATTTCCGTCAAAAAGAAGTTTAGAAACAAAAAAAAGTGAAGTTGCTGTCGCGATTTGATTAATCGAGAACTCCCATTGTGATTCCGCGTACTGTCGTGTTATGCGCACTGCCCAAGGGGCGACGTACGTTGCTCGCAAGGTAGCAGTGCTTGATTGGACCAACGTTCGCGAGTCAGTCGTAGGCGTTAATTATTATTGTTTGCCTTGCAGTGTTCCCGTTCTTTGTGGGGGATCGGAGCCTGCGTTTACTGGCGTGCGTAGTTCTTTTGCCGCATTGCGACACAGATTTCGAGGCGTTTCGGAAGTTATTGCCAACCGCCCGCCCAGTTGTGAGTGTCGTCGTGACTGTACTCTTGTGTGTTTTCGCCGTGGCGATTGCGGAAGAATTTAACTTCGTGGACCTCCCGAGCTTTTTTTTTCTTCATCGAATTATTATTGCTATTTATTATTATTAGTTGTAGTAGTCCTCGTCTAAAGCGCGGCTTGTACTACAATGGAGCACACGTTGAGCCTGACTTCCTTTTGCAATGCTTTTGGCTTCGTGAGGAAGCTTACGAGGGTACCCGAGCTGTCTCTTGGGAAGACCAGCGCACTAACTTGTTGCTACGCGATTCAGCGCGTTTTCCTTCTTCGACCTTCGCTAAGGCGAAGGCTCGGAGTAAGAGGGGAGGTCATTGCTTTTCAGACAACCCCAGTCTTCGTGATGCCCCCCCCCCCCTTTTTTTTTTTATTATTGCCGACCGCATTTCTCACAAACCGTTTCACTTTGATGCTGAATTACTGTAGCTGCTGTTGTGAGCAGTGTTTGGGTTGTTTTTTTTTTCTTTCTCTCTTTGCAATCGCCTGCGAGAGCCTATGTGGTGTTGATGCGAGGGAATTACCGCTGAGAGTATCAGCTCTTTCGCTGTTCGTCTTTTGCGTGACCGTATTGTATTGCGTAATTACGCTAATCTCATAGCACGATTTTTACGCATCTGCCTGCCACCGTAAAACAAGAACGGAAGTGTCGCATGCACCTCTACGTTAATTTAATAGGATTCTCAAACTATGCGCGCACGCATTGGAGCTGCTCATCATTTTTAGAAAAAAAAAGGACAGGAAATGTTTGGGCTTGTTTTCTTTGCTGCTGTTGTTACGTTCCGATTCCCAATCTGAACAAGGGTGTCATTGCAGACTACTTGCTATTTCTAGATTCCTACATCACCCTAAAGTGTTCCTTCGTGAGTCATCTTTCCGTGTTTTTCTTTTCCTCTTTTTTTTTTTCACTAATATGCACCCTTTAACAAAAAAAAAATCATAGGCGTTCGGCTACTCTCCCAACATCGTTATCCATCTCTCAAACTTAAAAACGTTATAACCTGAGAGAAAAGGGGGAGGGGGGGCGGATCGATGAAGGATATAAGGGACGTATGCGTCACAACCATCTGTGTGTTTCGAACGAGGCGTATAAAAATCGCAGGCGTATAAAAAGAAATTTCTTTTGAAGTTGACACTCCGTCCGTGCTGCACTTTGAAGCCGCGAGCTGCCGACAAACCACAGCTGTTATTACTATTATAAAAAAAAAACGACTCTCCGACTTTGACAAATGAACCCGATTCACTTTTGTCAGAATCGCACGATTCTTACCCGCGCGCGCGTTTTTTTTTTTTTTTTCATCCTTTCTTTCTGTAAGTCACTTCTAGAAACAAAACTTTTGCTCATCGATTCGGCCGCGGGTTTTTTATTTTTTACATTGGCTACTGAATTCCGTGTAAATGAACTTAAGTCGAGAAATGAACGTCGGACAAAGGACGCAGATGAGTGAGAGTGACCATTGATACCATAATGAGAGTATGGGGAAGGGAGGGATGATGCCGAGACTGACAACTAGTTGCGATATTTACTGGAACGTAAATAGATTCGTCTTTTATTTTTCACATTTTTGATCGCAATTGTGGTCGCGTTGCAGTCGACTCAAGTCCGATAAGTGGAGCGACTAAATCAATTTCGCGAGAATCGAATGGAACCACGCCGTGCAAGTCGGCGCTAATTAGAGATAATTAGGAGAAACCTTCGTCCTGCGTTGAATACATAAACATACATGCCGCTCAGTGTCATGGTGACGGAGTAACCATGTTAATGTACTGTGCGCGATTTACCACACCTATTTCATTATTTTTGTACGGCGCATTGAATTTCAACACTAACGAAGGATTGAGTGAGAATGTGACCGATGCTTTATGGATGGATAGGTGGATATAGATTCATTCGTTCATATTTGACGCCTGCGCTCGGTGGCATTAGCGACGGGGAAAGCGAGGCCACTGCCCGTGAACAATACACAAGCGTCCTTGGCTAAAAAAAGAAAAGAAATTAAAGCTCTCAGTGCAACGTCAGCTTGCAACGCATGCACTGAGACGCGCACACTGGAGCGAATAGTAGCAAGTTAATCCGCGAAAACATTGTTACACGTCGCCCTGGTGATTCGTCATGCCCGTGTAATCTCTGAAATGAATGCAATAGTGTTTCTGTGTCAATCACAAGGCCGATTCTTTCCTTTTTGTTTACATCGTCGCAGTTGTTTTCTGTTGTGTTTCTCGATGATAGCTCGTGACCTTGTGTACTACTCGATTCGTGCGAACTGCGTTCGCCCGCTACTTCCGTTTGTTGCTTGTCAATTGCGTGTTGCAGTGCAATGCAGGTGACAGCGTCTTTCGAAGACCTTGTGTGTAGTATCAACGCGTGGACGGGACGTGTGTGATTGCGCTGCGAGATTTTCAATCTTAATCGAATCAGAGATCTTCACACTTCATTCTATATTATATATATGGACACCTTGTTTGGACATGGTAAACGCAACGCTGTTTTTTTTTTCTTCAACGCTCTGTGTTAATTATACCAATTGTCTCAGCACTTCAATGTTCGTGCTGGTTGAATGAAACCCTCTTTAGCGATGACTCAAGACATGTGGACGGTGCCATCTCGGGCTGTTAAGTCGATAGGTGGATGGATGCGAAACTTTAACAGGGCCATTCAAAAGTCGTGTGCACCAACTCAGCCGTTTTTATGTGTACATGTCGACCGTAACACTGTTCGTTTAAGTTCTTAGATACAAAGGTTAACAGCCCAACATGGCGGCGACCTCTCCATGACCCGGCCTCTCTGCAGAACGGCCGTCGTTCCTGTTTCAGCTGTTCAATTGGTCAATAAAATTCATTTCGTGGGCATTTCCTTGTTCGTTTGTGAGCATTTTCATGTAGAGGCTCTTGTGACAGACGTGACGACTGACATGATCGGTGATTGAAGGGTGACATTTATTGTAAAAAATAAAAGAAAACAAAGACGAGGCAGATCGAACAGGGCTAGCGTTGTCTACCAACAAATGCCTTTGTTTTTGCAGTACAAATATGCTATACACTTCTGGAAAGGGGGAAGACTGAAGGAGGAGGAGATTTTTCTTAGCACAGATGATGATGATGAAAACTTTGGGTCCAGAAGACGTTGGGGAGACCCGGCTTGTCTCACGTAGGGACCGCATGTGCACATGCCGTAATTCGCCTGAGAAGCGTACAGAACGCTCCACTGCGGAGGTAGTTAATCTCATTTGTCCGCAGTTTTTGGTGATCAGCGCTATTCCTGTATTGTCTTTGTTGTTTTCGCGCTTTTTTTTTTCTCTCTATGAAAGTGTGCCAGCAAGCTCACGTTCACACGCTCCTGAAAGGTGACTTACACGACCGCTAGGGCGAATTTACCAACAATCCAAGCGCTAAGCCCCCCACTTTTTTTTTTTTGCTTTGTAGATTGGCGGCACTGTCTTCGTACATAACGCGCTGCAATCAATCCTCGCCGCCATTCGACGTGCCTTAGACGCGTTTGTATGAATGCGACCGTAGTGTGCGTCGTTTCTATAGCGCATCGCAGCATCAATCG